AAAGCATAGCCTACATGAAGTCATATTATAGTAACTCGATGCCTATCAAATAAGTAATAAAAAATCGCCATAATTCATCAAATATCCGTGGCTTCCAGACCCACACCGGGGGCCCTGTGTGTCCCCCTGGCCTCCAGCCAAGTGAGACTAGATTCGTTCTACTAGCCTCCCCCCGTCGGGGCCTTCAGCCCCTCCGTCGGGCAGGTCCTGGCGCCATCCATCCATCGTAAGCACCATATCCTAAGGCGTAGGTAATCATGATGTGCCACACTCTTTCTTTTTAGCTTTCTCTATTAGCCCCGCCTCATGATATTCAACACCTTTTTCTCCTAACCATTAAACTGTTCACCCGTCTTCTTTCCCTGCTCCTATTCACTTTATACTTCCAGTGAAGCCCAGGCTTTCTAAACCATCCTTATGGAGCACATGTCCTAAGAAACTCATCTACTTAGTTCGTATCTTGCACAGAAGTAAAATGTATACTGCCTGTTATTTTGTTTCAGTGGATCTGTCATCTAGAACCTTTAACTGTCAAAATGGATTAGAGAGCCACCCAAAAGACTTAAATCTAAGATTGCCACCAAAATTACAATAAATATATATAACTTTAGTTTCTGTCAGTGACCCATAGTTCAGGCGTCTGTACACAGCAGAAGATTTGAAATCCCGGTTGGAAAACTTTAGGAACATCCTCTTTAAAGTTGAAAATGTATGTATGTGTGCGTGGGTGTGTGTACGCGTGTATGTATGGGTGTATGTATGTATGTATGTATGTATGTATGTATGTATGTATGTATGTATGTATGTATGTATATATGTATATATATATACATATATATATATATATATATATAGCCGTTAACACTGTTAAATTATATATAAATCATCAAAGAAAGGTAAATACACAGTTCGAATAAAGGACATAATACATCGTGTAGTATAGCTCTCAACAAATGTTGTCCTATAAATAAATAAATGAATTGTGTAATAAAATGCCTTTGACGGGATTCGAACCTGCGACCTCTCGCTGTCAAGGCGAGAGTCATAACCATTAGACCACAGAGGGTACGTTATAAACTGTATCCGGTCGAGTCGTCGGCGACTAATTCCGGCAACCCCATTTGGTGGTCTTAGCGGCCACCGATGAGAGGGTGAATGGACACCCAGCAACATGGAAAAAAACAAAAACAGCTGAACAAATTGCGGATAAACTCCTCGGAACCAACAGCCAACCATGCTTTAGTTTAAAGAGTAGGTCTTAGTTTCATACGATGACATCAACTTTTTTCAAAATGTCAAACTCAAAGAGTTGGTTAAACAGATTCAAATAACGTCAGATACACTCTATTACCCAACAGGTACGGCTGGAAACAAATAATAGCATATAATATAAATCCAACCGTTAACATTGGTCGCAGGTTCGAAATACGTACGCCCGGTGTGTACATACGAGATAATAATACGTACGTACATGATAGTAAGTAGCCGTGTTTCGTAGCTAGATGAGTACGGGTCCCAGTGCAAGATCGATTGATGGGCCCTTCATGTGAAACGTCAACTGAGGGACGGTAGGCTTGAGTTATGGCTAGTGGAGAGAGGGGTGCTGAAAGCTATCAATTTTCCCCACGTGCGTAGGGAAATCTCCGAAAGCTCCGATTAGGTATACCGTGTCACTTTTTCAGAAAATTGCTTCATATCTCTCCCCGCCCCTACCCCACCCCACTAAGGGCCTAGCTATAGTAATAAATACTAATAATTGGCAAGGGTGAATTGCCATGGGCCGGTAGGGTCCAGGAGAGAAGCCCCGGGGAGCTCTGGCGTCTATAGTATTTTATAAGTCGTATCTAATTGATTTTAAGGAATGCAAATACAAACATTTATTTCCACACCACATTTTCAAAGTAGGCCCACAGTGGCGGATCCAAGTATTCAAAATAGAGAAGGTTCAGGGTTGGACATTTGCAGATGAAGCGTAGACCACCTTTTCCCCACCATGGTTGGGGCTGAGGTAAGAAAAGTTATAATTATGGCACCTCTAGTTGGCCGAAAAAATGGCACTCTCAGACTTGAATATAAAAATTACAATAATTTAAAAAAAATTTAGGGAGGATGGGCCGGTTGGCTGGGTCCCCTTGGATCTGCCACTGACATATTCATCATAAGAAATTTTTTGAATTTATCCTGGTAATCATAATCACGCCCGCTTATATTTCGTGCAAACGTACGCATTTATTATCTGCTGTTTAGCTTGTCACGTATTCCAACCATTAAAAACAATAAAGATAAACTTATTTAAAACAGTCACTCACTCTAATTTAATTTCTTTGCATGTACAGTACTTCTAACATCAACCAAGAGGTTTTTCCTTTTCTCCTCTTTTGAATTTCACTTTTATGCAAGTTTTAATGCGACTACACTATTGAGTGGAAATATGCCGTCTAATTTACAATCAAACAGGACTAGGGAGATAGGAAGCACACAAAACATTAGTTAGCATTTTCATTTAACAAACATAAAGGTGATTTACTTAATTTATCATTATCATGGCGAGATTGCATCAACGTAACATCGAGTTCGTAAACCTGTGGTATCACTATATATTAAATAAGTAGAAATAGACAGACCTATCCGTGTCAAAGCTGTATATTATTGTTTAACAACGGCTATATATAAAATTTAGTTGACTACTGTAGTTTTTGGAAATTAGGAGAAAGAGAAATCTACAATTGATATGATGCCCACCCCCTACTTCTAAAAGTGGGAGAACGTGTTCCCCTGCCCTCACCGATCGACGCCCACGATAATCGGAACCTTAATTCGTAATTATTACAAAGGGCCTTCTATGCGGTCTCATGCAGCTATTTCTAAAGTAGAAAATTAGTGACAAGGGAATTAAACAATTTAAATTATCACAGTAATACTCCTCTAAAACCAAGAGGGGCCGCTGGCCGTTTTTTTTTTCCTTCAAAAAATCATTACTATTATTATTATCACGTATACGTACATACAGTATTACTATCACGTACGTACTTATAAATATCGCGTACGATACTTACGCAGGCCTACATTACTATCACATACATACATGATACATACCACTATTACGTACGTACGTGATACTTTTTTATTTATTATTTTTTCTTGGTATTCGTAGCAAAGCATATTCGGTTTTGTCAACTTTTTTTTGTGGAATTGTACGAAGACACAAAAGGACACGTATGTACGTAATAATTCCACGTGGACACGTACGTACGTATTAATATTACGTACCGGTACGTGATAATTATCACGTACGTACGTAATAGGGACATGATAAACTTTAAAATTATCACGTACGTACGTATTACTATTACACATGTACGTAAAATTATCTTATCACTTACTCACTCACTTAGTAATGCGTACGTACCTGCCCCTTCTGAGTCTTCGTAAAATTCCACTAAATACAGTTGACAAAACCGAATAAATATGCTGTAGTATAGGCCCTATCTGATAATTGTAATTTTGGAGGCCATTTTGGATTTTCGTGGCCATCTTGGATTTCCCCCTCCCTTCCCTCAAAGATTTTCAAATAGTATGGGGCCGACTAAGATGTCAGACTGGGGGGGGGGGGCTAAGTATTTATGGGTGTAACTATACAGGCCTGTAGCCAGCTTATTCCAAGGGGCTTTTCTGGGCGTGAGGTCCACAGTCGAAGCCCCGGTGGGGTCGGCGAAACCCCCAAAGCATGAGGATTTCTGTGTTTTATGGGTATAATTAATGCTATAAAAGCAGATATGTTTGGAAATGTCTGTGCCTGGGTGGGTCTGCAGTGCATTAATTGGGTTGGAGGACTTATTTAGGAAATTTAAAGAGGGGGTTTCGCCAGAAAAGAGGGGGTTTGCTAGTAAAGAAGGTTAAACCCTCTCCCCGGATACAGGCCTGCTATAGCGCGCAACGGTATCTGAGGGCCGTAGGCCCGAGCCAGGGGGTGGGTATAGGAGGAGGTGTCCCCTCCTCCCAAAACCAGATAAAAAAAAATTGGGACTTCTAGATGGCCGGAAACGGCTAGGATGGGAAAGCTAGACCTATTTTATTTATTTATTTTTTGCTTTTTG